CCATCAATTTCGTCTGTGGAGTGATGTAGATGCAAACCCTATGTGAGATCCACATGTATTTCTTCTTGCAAATTATATTATTATCCATGGCTGCCTAAGGTCTGCAGCTATATGGATGATCCTATTCCTTGACAGTTCTGCAGTAAAGAATAATTTTCTATTGACATATTTTAAAATGTTGGCATGAAGCACCATATATAAAGTTAATACATACATATATAACCTGTGGTCACATATAGTTATAATTATTGTAATGTTGCAATCTTAATATATTGACAATAAAAAATCAGACATACAGATTATAGTGTGTTTTTTTCCAATTTGAATGAATGAAAACTTCTATTTTGGGACCGGTCATTATTTATGGAAGGGGGGAGGGAAAAAATAAGGGGGGCATATGTATAAATTACTAGAAGGAGGGGGGTGGGCTATTAAATTTTTTCAAGAAAATAAGGGGGGTTGCAATTAAATTTGAAGATAGCCTTTCCCTACCCACCCACCCATGTTTATTCTAGAGGATTTTATCTTTTAGTATGTCACTTTATTTTATATAATTTTTAATTTCACATAAAATAGGATGTATAGACCACTATACATTGTATTTCGTTACCACTGACTTGTCAGTGTGACTTGTGCCGGATTGAGGTATGCTTTGGCAGAATCTCCAGAATTGTCATGGCTATCTCCTTTATATTACTGATTGTTACTCTCATTCTGCGCAGCTGCTATGGCAATACTTTGTGCCATCAAATCTAGTAACAGCCTTGGACCACAAACAGCACCTGTCTCCAAACACTAATATTAATTCTCTGCTGTTAAACATGGTTACAATGGAAACCTGATTTTAGAGTTATATATGAAAATACCCCTCTTTTAATTATAATTTTCTGCTAATATATATTTTTGGTCAACGTTAAAGGTGATATCCAGTCGAATCTGCGCATGCGCGTGTTTTGTTTACGTTTTTTTGTTTACCTCTGTTATACCTATGCCTACATGAAGTATCCGTGTCTATATAGCTAATTTACATATCAAATATGGCGGCCTTCACTCATAGCGTAGTCGAATGTTATGTTAATATGCTGTGTTGTAAAAAACTTAACTTTGCAACGAATGTTTAGAATTACGAATAAATTTGGAAGTCATATTTCAAAAGCAATTTGTGATCGATATCTATCTATATGGGTGGCATTTTAACAGCTAACTTGGTAATTATTTCGCACTTACAAAAACACTGCATTATTTTATTAATATTGTTATCCATTCTACAACGTCTTGGACAATGGAGGAAACAAGTTTTACGCTCGAGCAACAAGACGAAGATGACCTTATGCAAGCATCTGAGACTCCTTTTCATGCTGAGCAAACAACTGTTTGTAAATGCAAGGGGATGTGTCTTTGAGAGATCGGTCGAAATGCATGTCCGTGCAAGAATATTGGAAACTTTTGTTCGTCTGCGTGTCACGGGCAAGACAACCAAGTTTGTCTGAACAAATTGAATGTGGTTGATGGAGATTGCAATTCTTCATCTTCTGGAGAGGATTTAGTAAGTACAATTTATATCTCTAGCACTGTATAATTGTTTTTATACAGTAATTTACATGCAGGTCAAGTGCAAATAATCGGTCTATGGTCGAATCTGGCATCTGACATCAAATACAATTTCTTGATAAATACAAAAATAATGTTTGTATATATTATATAGGCCATGTATGTTTCCTGTAAGAAACATGAACTGTTATTATTATTTACTATTAGTATATTAGTAATTTAAATATTGTTTAGGATTCTGGGGCCTCAGATGAGAGTTTTCAACCACCCCAAAGGAAACGTAGCAGAGTAAGAGGACAATCTAATCAGCATAGGGCAGGATGTTCAAGCACTTCAAGAGGTACAAGGGCTTCTGGAGGTGAAACTACAACCAGCCGTGGAACATCCAGACGGGGAAGAGGATGTGGCAGATTATTAGCTGAAGAAAATTCAGAAGAAAGACAGGCTCAACATGAGGAGCAAATTCTGGTAAATATTTTTTTTTTTCATGGCAAATAATAATATAAGTTTTGATGTGTTAACACCACATTATATTATTTTATTGCAAATTTTTTGGTAGTACACAAAGTATGCATGAAATGGTGTTTCCACAAAATAAAAATTATATTTTGTGCAATTCTCATGTCATTATGCTAAATTGTATATTTTTTCTATTTCATATATTCTGTAATTTAAAATATTACAATACGAGACAGAAGCAGAAAATACATATTTGTTACTGTCGATGCAACAGAAGTGTTGATAAAATATTCTATCAATTCATTACCTAAAGTTGATCAATTCATTTGCTTAAAAATTGCTCAACTTCCTGTTTACTGGCTGGAGTGGCTGCTTATTACCAATTGTCAATAAGTCACTGAAATGAAAAGGATCGATTCATGCACACAGGAAATTGATCAATTTTTCAAGGTAATGAATTAATGTAATATTTTATCAACACTATTGCATTGACAGTGAAAATATTATAGACTAGAAAATATTTTTAATAGAGCCAAAAACAATTGGTTTTAACAAAACTTTGTTTTCTGCCTGGAATATCAATTGCTACTAACAGTTAAAATACATTATTATACATATTTCTTTAGGAATTAATAAATGGTCTAAACGAAGAAACAGTTGGACATCTGGCTGTTGAATTGTTAAGACGCCAACCTGCAGTGTTTGCTGACTTAGTAAATGGCGAGTTACCAAACAATGTCAACACAGATACACCAGGAGAAACAGGGCCCCCAGAAAGCAGCCATTCACCTGATTGGTGCAAGTGTGGTTTGTGTGTAGCCATGCCAACTCAAGCGGAAAATAAATGCTGCACACAAGTTGTCCGAGAATGCATAACAATAGACCCATTATTCCATCAAATTGTATTAGACAGAAATATTTAAGATGTGGCAATGAGGTATATGGAGGACATGTTGGCAATGGAAAATCCACGAAATAATGAGAACTTCAGGCATGCTGCATATAGACAATTTGTTCTTTGGCAGCATGGGAGACTTGGGCAAGGCAACAGGCGAGTAGTACCAAGCTGTTGTGTAAATGCAATTAGAAACCGCTACCCATCACCTAATGGTATTTATGTAGGTTTCAGGCCAACAAGGTTGTAGGCCAATATAATAACTGTTGATCAGTGTGACAGAACATTGCACAATAGTAAGAAAAACTTGTATCACAATCACATAATAAATATTGTAATTTTTATTCAAAATGCTATAGCCAGCAAATCACACAAAAAATACAGTACTTTCATTGTTTCAGAAATGCTTGCCGCCTGCGTAGCCCGGCTGTTGTCCGGCACGCACGGCAGACTAAAATCAATGTTTGTGAAACAAACCAAAAAATTTGTCAATTAGCTCTAATCCACAATCTTAAAAGAGTAAAAAAAATTGGGTGAAGCAAGAGTTTTTTTGTTACACACTGTAAAATATAAACAAACTTTGACCTATGGTATTTTAAGACCTATTGATGTTAATATGTGTTATACTGTAAGGTTAGACTGTGTGTGCATTGTTGAATACATTGCATGACAACATATATTTTTACACCTATGAAAGATGCTAAATGTGTGGTAGAGACACAGTACTTACTGTACATACTGTGCAGCAAGAAACCATTGTTCATATTTAAATTAAATATTTGTTATGGATGAGCACAATTAGAATCTGGACTTATGTACTTGTAGCAGATGTTCAATACTTGGTCTTGGCGTTACTGCAATGTTTGCAGCGATGTTCCTTGGGTCATCTGCACCTCTCACAATTTTTCTGTTAACATTTCCAGTTTTCAATTGCTCCTCAAAGATCTTCACAATAAGCGTCGGGATATAACCATAATCCTTTGGTTGAAGGACAGTAACTGGTCGCCACTGTTTTGTACGCTTGCTGTACTGGCCACGGTGTCTGACATTAAAAATAGAAACTCAAAATAAAAATATAATAAAATATAATTATATGCATTTGAAGAACATTCAAGACATTGTTAGCACAGTTTGCTACTTCATGTTGTATACATACAAGATTCAACCTAAATCTTGTAACCAGTTAGTATACATATTTTTTTGGCAAGTTTACCCATTTTCTCAAATGTATTCTGATAATGCAGCTACATGTATAGTATTATAGCAAATACAATTCTATACTGTAATCTATGCGAAACCCTCCCCCCCCCAAAAAAAAAATTTAGTTACATACACAATTTCTCCAGCAGCATTTTTACAAGGCTGTCGATTCCTATGGCTATTGAAGTCGATGACAGCCAGTTGATTCCTTAACTTGTATCCAACATACCTAAGAAGTAAAATAAAAATTGAACATTTCATTCAGACTTTATACAAATAAAATCATCTGGCATTAGAAAGTAAAACAACGCAGGACAGCGCATAAGTTAATGAAACTGTCTGCCAATGTGATATCTGGTACAGTACTCTCTCTTCTTAAGTACCGTAACACACTAAAATGTAACCCACCAAAAGGTGCTAGTCCATAATTATACTGCATGTTGGTGGTGAGTGGGTTGGCGTATTCAAATGTTTTATATAAAATAATGTTTATGCTGGCTAATGAACAATTATACTACTTACGAGTATGAATGTCGTTTTGGGCAATACATCAACAAGTGATTGTGGAACGACTCGAGGAAACCTGTGTGCCTTCAAATATAAAAAATAATATCAGTGATATTCATAAAATTTATAGTTATGTACCATGTTGTCGAATATTGTATACTGTCAGTGTCACCATTTTAACAACAATATTGATTGGGTAATAAAAAATAAATCTTCCCTTACCTGAAATTAGTAAAATATGGAAATGTATTCAGGAATCTCTTGCTTAACACAATCTTTTGTAGCGCCTTATGTGCCTTGCTGTTCTTTTCCAACCATGGCTTTTCCCTCTCTTCATCACTAAGGGGATCGTGGCCACATTTTCCAGCACTTTTACCATCATCTATCGGCCATTCATGCTCGTTTACCACATGGTGAAGTATTCCTCTCCACAAATCCTAAAAATGTTCTCCTGAAATTAGCCTCAAACCCCCCTCCCCCCCCAACTCTTGGTCTTGGGACCTTTAATAAGGTGATTGACCAAAATTATAAGGTCAACTGCAATAAGTGCAACTGTAAATTAAAGTCACTTTAATTAATAATAAAAAAATACAGTAAGTAACAGTAAGTACTGTAAATGTTGGCTGACAGTGTAGTACTTACGTACCTTAAAATCATTAACATTTCCATCACAATGGCGACTGCAATACCAAAAATGATTTTTCACAGCCCCTGACCATTGCAACAAATCTTCATTTCCCTTTTCCTTTGCTACCTACAATGATAAAACAGAAAACCTTGTTCATTGGAACCTACCTTCAATTGTCAGTCACTCTGTCTAAAATCAAATTATACTGTATGACTAATCTACAGCACTCCGTGCAAACACTCATAGCACATACTGTACTAAGCAAAAAGGAAGATGAATTTATAAATGTCTATTGTTAACTATTAGCAGGCATTGTTCAAATGCACCAACTAGTTTAGTATATATTTTATGTTGTCTGATGCCTGTCTAGCTTACTATCAGTGGTACGAACCTGTCACTCATTGTGATAAAAGGTTAGGTCTACTGTCTGAGTGCAATCAAAATAAATTATTAATGTACAGGTGTATTACGATTTACAAAACAAATACGTTTGTATGATGTACTGCAAGCAATATTATTTTATACAAATAGCAAAACTAAAGAAAGTCCACTTACATTTGTGACCTTTTTCCCAATATTTTTCCCACCATGCCAGACATCTCGTTGATGTACAATATCAGCATACTTCTCACAGTGACCTGTTAAAAATGTTTCAAACCATTTATTCATGAATCTACCATAAATGAAACAATTTTTTCACAAATTTTTCACAAATTTTCCGGAGCTGGAAATTTTCTATTAAGGGAAGCGTCACATGCATTAAGGGAAGTTTTCACAAATTTTCCGGAGCTGGAAATTTTTGTTTTTCTCCGGAGCCGGAGTTTTTTTGGCTGGAGCCAGTGGTGAAAAACCCTGAGTTAGCACAGCACTATAAAACAGAGAATCGAGAAATTAAATACATTTTATGGTTCTATTGCAAGCCAAGGGCAATGCCTTTGACAGACAACATTATTTTAAAATGTGCTTGCAAAATCATGACATGATTAGGGACACTCCAGGCAGACTATTGGCGGAACGAGCGGAAGCCTAAGGTGTGTGGTATGCTTTCTGTGGTCTGTCCAGCATGCCTATTGCCCTCCATAAAAAACAACAAAATAATTTTTATCTGAATCCAGTTAGAACCTTGGAAATGCATCTACTGTACATGCATGCCACATTGTGACTGTCAGTCCCAAACAAAATTACTCATAAAAAACTTACTCATTAACGATGCAATTCCAATATGCCCATCAGTTATTACTTCTTTTGCAATAATCTCAGTGCTTAGTATAGCATCCATCCCCCTCTCAAAACCAACACGTTCCATGTTTGTGCTCTTCCGGCCTTCTACCTCACGTACATCTACAACATCTTGCTGTAGAATAACTTTATCTTCCATATCAGTGATTGTATATGTGCAATATTGCGCACAATGCCCTGGCGAGTCATTCCTAGCATCGGCACTAAGAAGAATCTCTTTATTTTTCCTTTCATTCACAAGTCTTTGCCTCATTGTATCCCAATAGCCTTGCACAGTTGGAGCTACATATAGACCTTGGTGTTGGTAAAAAAGGCTCTTCGAAATGAACTTGAGGTTGAGGAACTTGAAAAACAATGCTATTTTCGTAAATGAATTTCCAGACAAGAGAAGGCAGGATGAAAGTAACAAGTTCCCAGCTCGCATTTTGTTGAACATCGGTTGGGAAGACCAGCTTCCTCCCAAATGACCTGATGAACACTTCCATGTCACAACAAGACAGCTACCCACATATGTTTTCTTGAACTCCCATGTTTTGCAACAACCAGGTCTATTGCAATGAGAGCCATGTATTTTTTGCAACAGTTCCAGGATTTTGTCGGTGAACACAATACACTTTTCCATTTCTGAAAGCTGCAAAGGTAGAACATTTGGTACTGGTATGCTATCCTTAGGAAAATCAGCATGCTGTGGGTTATCCTCAATTAAAGACAACTCTGGATCCTCTAATTCATCTTCTTCACCCAACAACATGTCAAACACTTCTTCCTCTGGAAATGTTTTGTCCATAACATCATTTATTCTAAAACATAAAAATATGCAGACATTAATATTTTAGTACAGAAGTTCTACTTAATATCTCATTGATTCAAATAAACATGTAAAGCCTGGTGAAAACTGCTCCAGCCAACCCACTGCATACACTTCTTTGTACTATATTAGGGACCAGTCACTTTGACCCCCCATTTTCATTTTTACTCGACAAATGGGGATACCCAGGCGTTATAATGTTAATTATTAATTAAATAAGAATATGGAGCAGACAAGATACTAACGTCGACCAAAAATATATATTAGCAGAAAATTATAAATAAAAGAGGGGTATTTTCATTTATAACTCTAAAATCAGGTTTCCATTTGATCTGCGCGATTGTAACCATGTTTAACGGCAGAGAATTAATATTAGTGTTTGGAGGCAGGTGCCGTTTGTGGTCCAAGGCTGTAACTAGATTTGATGGCACAAATATTGCCATAGCAGCTGCATATCAATGAGAGTAACAATCAGTAATATTGACAGCAAAAGGAGATAGCCATGACAATTCTGGACATTCTGCCAAGGCATACCTCCGGCACCAGTCACACTGACAAGTCAGTGGAAACAAAATATAGTGTATAGTGGTCTATACATCTTATTTTATGTGAGATTAAAAATTATATAAAATAAAATGACCTACTACCAGATAAAATCCTCTAGAATAAACATGGGTGGGTGGGGTGGGTGGGGGAAGGGTATCTAAGCGCTAAACTTGCTGCAGTTAGGCAAAGCATACAATGGCAGTATGAATACCCAGACCGAAGCACTGATCACAAGGCGCGAAACAACCCCCTTTAATCGATATGACGTCACAGACTCCCATCAGTGGATGTGGCCTGCAAAGTACATTCGCCGTTAACCTTGCTTAAATGTATTTAACCACATCAAGATAGCTGATGTAATAATACATTGCCAATTTATCAGTAAAGACTTATTTGCATACAGCACACAGAAGACAAGATAAATCCAAACTATTTCACACCAGTGACCATGATTTAGTTGCAATTACAACCAAATGGATACCATGCTTATTAAGCAAATTCCTTCAAATTTAATTGCAACCCCCCCTCCTCATTTTCTTGAAAAATTTAATAGCCCCCCCTTCTAGTCATTTATTTATACATATGGCCCCCCTCATTTTTTCCCTCCCCCCCTTCCATAAATAATGACCGGTCCCTAATATGCAACATTTTTCCACACTTGTAAGTAGATTGACTGTAATTAAAAAAGCATACTGTATATATGTATGTCAGGACTTACAAAGCACTTTTGGTTTGTTCAATTTCATCTAAATCCAAGCTATCATCTGTGTCAGAATCTTCTGCTTCTGGATGCTCGAGAGAGGTTAGCGTTTTCTCATCATCATGCCTTTAAAATAAAAAATGAAAATTAGCATGCAAGCAGTCAGGCCTTCCCTAACAGACAAGGAGGGGGTGGAAGTGGGTGGGTCTCCAGAGTTTCTCATGGGAAAATCAACTTAAAAAAAGAATACTGTATATATGTATGCCAGGACTTACAAAGAACTTCTGGTTTGTTCCAGTTTATCTAAATCCAAGTGATCGTCAGCGTCAGAATCTTCTACTTCTGGGTGCTCGAGAGCGGTAAGCGTTTTTGTATCTGCGAAGCAGATATATTGCTGTCGCAAACGTACCGTACCGTACCGTGTGTTAGCACGTAGCCATTCAGCGATGGGCTTATATAATTCAGCCAATTTATGCAAATTTAAGCCAATCACCGATCAGTTTACATCAATTGTTTACATCGTGCCCGCATCTAACCTGCGAACGGGCATACTTTAGCCTCGTCAGGCCTCGTGTATAAATCGTGTTTTGTTTCAAAAATATCTTGATATTTTTATCAATTTATCTTGAATTGAAGTTATTTATCAACATGGAATCTTATCCTCATCTGGTAAGTAGTCAAATACCACATATTATATATTTAAATACCAAATTTGTGCAAATATATTAATATTATGTCCCACATATTTTATAATACATGAGTTCGCCAGTTCGGCAAATATTTACTATACTATCTATAGTTAATAGTGCCACAGAATAAAGAATTGATATTGCCGTACGTATCTTCGGCGTAGAGTTGACATGGAATGCACTCTGGAATTTTTTTATTAATATATTACACTGTATAAAATATTGGATATTTTCGAGGATATTTTAAGCCATTTGTCAACATAGTTCACAAAAAGATTTATACAGTATTAATAAAAACAATCCATCTGTGACTTCTGTAATATTTTAAACAGTGAAAACATAGCAGGCAATATTGCCAATTAACAATATCAAAGGAACCTATTGAACAGTTCTCAGGAGATATTGAATTAAATCCTGGTCCTGTATTTCTGTATATTGACTCCATAACAACAACAGTCGATCCAACTATAAAGCTGTCATCAAATGTAGTGTTAGAGCAAAGGTTGAAGATGTTATCAGTTAAAATACTTATACATTTTGGTTTTACACATTAGAGTTAATTAAACAAAATTTTTACAAACATTTTCAAATAAAAGAATCCTCACCCTCTCGAGCCTCATTACATTGTCATTTTGCTTTCTAACATAAATATTTTTCTTTAGAGATTAATACAAGAATGAAGAATAAATGTATTGGATATTGGCTGGATAATTTTGTCAGAACAACCAACTTGCAAGACAATCTTACCTAAATTCATTAGTATGGAAAATAACTTAACAGCTACAATGAATAATCATATATTATATGGTGGATTTGATCAATGGCACAAATGTACAAAACTAAACTTGTGATACCTTCTACTCAAACCGATAATCTCCCACAACACAATTGTTTTTGTGTGAATGTGCTGTACGTGTTAAACCGAACAGTGTGGTATATCATTAACCGTGCACAGAACTGGAATTTAATTATATACTTCACGCATGACCTTCAAAACATTCTCAATTATTCAGTGGCCTTCGACATGTTCACCAAATATTTTGTGTATGTTACTCAACAGTTAACATTGGCAAGTGTAAACAACAAGTGACATAACTTTTGCTTCATATGATTACAATAAAGTTTTGAAAATTTGATGAGTATGGATTGAATTGACAGGTGACAGTTTACTAAATAGCCGGCTGTATAGACATTGTTTGCATGAAATTTTTATTTCCTGACTGCATAATTATCTCTTACAATCATAATCACATTATAAAGTTGGTTAAATTTTCTCGGTGTGTGGGGGGGGGGGAGCACTTGCCCTGCCGCCCTCCCCGCTGTGTACAGCCCTGTTTTAAATCTTATCTGCTATTATAATAAGTGATGAAATATTTCAATTGTCCCATGTCACCTTCATTATTCAGTTCCTTTCAAGAAAATACAAAATGTGAATCAAGTTTTTTCGCAGATACATGTACGCCTTGCGTACCTATTTTTTCATCATGCCTTTAAAATGAAAATTGAAAATTAGCAGTTTCTCATTAGAAAATCGATATGTGACGCTTCCCTTAACATTTAAGGCAGCCCAGAAACGTGCATATCCAAATGTAAACAATTAGTATATATATGTATATCTAAGATTGGCAGCTATTTGAATGCCGACGAACACATTTACTTGAATAACAAGAACATACTTTGCTTGTATTGATAAAAGCCCACAAAAATAATGATACACTGAATGGCAATTGCTATTAATTTACAAACAAATTAAGATTTATTACTGGCCAAAGCTTTGAGAAAATTGACACAAATTTGTGATGTTTTGGCAAAAATTTTTTCAATTTTTTTGTCTTCATGATGTAGTAAAATATACACTACTGCTTCTCAATATAAAGCACACAATTATATTGGACTTGAACAAAAAGATACCTTGATAATTCTGAAATCGTGGATTCCGAGAGAAGCTGCCGCCTGGAATGTTCGTCATGTGTTTTGGTCGCTGTGACATCTTCGTTCATACGTACCGGAGTAGAAAACATCACTATGAAAACAACACAAATATTTCGAAATATAAAAGCTTACGAAGAAAATTTAAATTAGTAGGCGAGAAATATGCGAGATTAATGAATATAAATTACTTACGAGGGCGCATAGGAGATGAAAATGAAAAGATTGAATCGACATCATTGACATTTGTCTGTGTGCCCGCGTCGCTATTAAAATATGAAAAAACATCAAATATTTAACCGATCTGAACCAATGATTGCTTTAATACTATGACTGAAATAAGCACAATCATAAATAACCATAAAAACATTATCACGACTATTATACATACGTAACCTACCATTTCACAGCACTTTCCCGTCCGGATAAACATGCTTTCATCAAGAAGTCTGCAAGCTGTTTGTCGGTAGCAAAGTTTAGTTCCCCTTTCAACTCCCTCCATGGAACGAATTGCTCGTACAAGTATATTCTAGTTCTTCCTTTGCTAGCAATGTATGACTTTCGTTTACCACTTTCGCTTGGATTCGAGCTCGAAGAAGGTAAACTTTCAGAACCATCTCCTTCGGTGTCCATGCTCGAGACACATAAATTCAGTCACTCCTTGCGTGCGACATGATAACAAAGTATCGTATATCATGGTAGTGGGATACTTCATGTAAGTTGCGGTAATATGGTTTGTTTTGGGCACCCCCCCAAAACAATGTTTCTCGCGCATGCGCAGATTCGACTGGATATCACCTTTAATGGTTTTTTAATTAGCGTTCAGATCCGGATTCAGTATATTGATAAGTTCTTTTTCTTTCATCTCCCTAAAAAGTCTGTCCGTGTTAATGCATTGATATATAGGCATTATTTTGAAAATTCCGTTGTTACACATATTTAAGTGTTCGCTAACTTTTAGATGTCTATACTCTTCGTGTCGAATTTGTTCCTTGTGCAATGTCACTCTTTTTCGTAAGTTTTCTGTCTGGCCGACGTAGAAGCTGTCGCATTTTGAGCAAATGATCACGTAAATGACATATCTCGCTTTGCAGTTCATCGTTGAATTGACTTTCCAGGTTTTTCCGCTCGTTAATGTAACAGACTTTCCTGTGATTAAAACATCGCATGTTCCACATCGCTTTTCCTCGCATTTTGTTACACAGTGTAGAGAATTGAATTGTGCTTTTGTCAAGTATCGCTTTAAGTTCTTCGGTTAGCGTTTGCTTACAATGAGTTTTGTTCTGTCTAATACTCGTTTCATTTTCTCGGAATTGTTTAGAAATTTAAAGTTCTCCCTTATTTTTCCAATTACTTGAGGATTGTTGGGATTATGAGTTATTACTAAAGGCAAGACATTGTCATCAGTTTTATGTTTTGGTGCCCTCAATTCCTCAATGTTTTTTGATGAAGCCTTCTGTATTCCGTTTTTTCAGATAAGCAATTTCGGATAGTTCTGCTTTTGTAGGAAATATTCTAGTTCATCAAGACGCTTCTTCTTTAAATCTTGATTTGTTACAATTGCACAGATCCGTCTTGCCAGTGTGTAGGGAATGTTTGATTTTGTATGTCCAGGATGACATGAATGATAATCCAGATATTGGTGTGTGTCCGTTTGTTTGTAATGTATATCACTTTCTAACCGTTCCGCGTTCTTGTAGAGTAGTATATCCAAAAACGGTAGTTTTTTATTGTCATATTCCATCGTGAACTGTATTTTTGGATGAAGTGAATTTAACATTTTATGAAGTTCCTCGAGTTCTGCTTCTGTCTTCTGCCAGGGTAGAAAGCAGTCGTCTAAGAAACGTTTAAACAATTTCACGAAGTTTTCTTTTTCGTCCTGTCCATACTTTTCCTTGAACCTTTCGTCCAGTTGTGTCTCAATGAAACCCATAGTTAATGTGGCGTACGTAATGTGCCATTTTAGTGCCCATTGCTGTTCCTTGTATTTGTTTATAATTAATGTCATCAAATTGAAATGTATTCTCCTTTAGGACAATTGAAATGGCCTCCAAAATAAATTCTTTAGGGAACGGTCGTGGCAATGATTCACGGTGTTTGTCCAACCAATGTTCGATTGCTGTGAGTCCAAGATCATGTGGGATACTTGTATACAAGCTGATGACGTCGAATGATACCACTATCGTTTTCTCGTTTATATTTGTAGGTATTTTGTTCAGAAAATCCATACTGTCCCGTATAAAACTTGGTACATGTTGGCATAATGGTTTTAAAATCAAATCGACAAAATTGCTTAGTCTATGTGTGGGCGATATAGGTCCAGCTACTATAGGTCTAATCATTGTTTTGGTCGGTGACAGCATCTGTTATGGTTTTTGATTTGTGTATTTTCGGTAATCCATAGAAATTTGACGTTTTCATTAGGAAATTTGTGATGTACTCTTTCTCGTTCTCAGTAATGAAGTTTCCAAAGTTTTTAATAAGTCTCTTAATCTTTCGTAAAATGGCTTCGTCCTCGTTTTGCGATAATTGTATGTAATTCTCTGTGTCGGAAAGGAGGTATAGCATTTTGTCTCTATAATAAGATTTGTCCATTACCACCGTTGCTCCCCCTTTATCTGCTTGTTTGATTATGATTGTGCTGTCGTTTTTAAGGTCTTGAAGAGCTTTCTGTTCTGCTGTAGATATGTTACATTTCCTAGTTTTCTTCTGGGATTGTTCAAGTTTTTACAAGTCGCTAAGAAATAACGTGAGATGTTCGTCCTCTGATCTTGGTGGAACAAAATTAGATTTGTTTTTAGCAAGTGAATTGTCTATGTTCTGCTCTTTATCGTTAAAATATTCTGCTAGGCGTAATTTCCGACTGAATTCGTGGATATCCGCTTTCAGTTCTGTTGTATTTTGTGGTGGAGTTGGAGTGAATTTTAAACCTCGCTTAAGTAGCCGTATTTCATTTACCGTCAGATCTCTTGACGAAATGTTAATAATTTTTGGTTCTGTCAACGGTGGTTGGTCATGTGCGGTTGTCGTAGTCGTTCCCTGGGATGGTAGAGTGATCTCTCTGGAGGATATCTCTTGATGGGATGTTGTTCTAAAAACGAAGTGTTCCTTGGGATTCTTTCGTAATCATCAACGATGTAGGTACTTCCTTGCTGTGGATTATATCTTGGAGGAATTCTCGCGACCTCAGCATATGTCATTTGGTGATGCAGTGACGACGAGGAATGATGATTGCGTGTGTTGTTGTGCTGGAATCGGTTTTGTCCTACTCTCTCCTTATTAATTGCGGTTACGTTGTATCTGGGTCGATTGTGGGCAAATTTTGCAGACTTTCTCTCATCGGGACGGTTGTTCTTGAATTGTTTGGGATTCATTACGAAAAAGAGTGACATTGCACAAGGAACAAATTCGACACGAAGAGTATAGACATCTAAAAGTAAGCGAACACTTAAATATGTGTAACAACGGAATTTTCAAAATAATGCCTACACGGCCAGAAATCTCTCAGACTTGCTGCAAGTTGCGGAATTTACCTGGCCGCCGCAAGCTGATGACAAGTTGCGTCAGCCCTGATGAATACGTCAAGCCGCGACAGACCTGATGCTACCTGTCTGTCGCAACTGGATGACCGCGGCCAGCAGCAAGTTGATGAGCGCAGCTTGCAGCAATGCTGTTGAAAACAAGTGGCAACAGGCTTGTCGTTAACAGTTTGCAGCAAATCTGATGAAATCAACAGGCCTATTTCGACCTGATGTGAATAGACCTGTTATGAACAATGCTGTTAACAATTTTTCAAAAACCAAACGGTAAAATAAGTCACGACGGCAATAATGACTTTTTACAGCGAAGTTTGACAACAGGAAGGGAATGAATTTCGAGGTGAATTTGCAGTTAAATTTCTTGCCTTTGTTCAGAGGATTATAAATTTCAGGTAAGGTGTATCCTTCTATATAGGCTTTCTTTATTTATTGTGTTTCTTTCTCGATTGACTTTGTATTTGTTAAATTTGTGTAGAAGACAACCGGTGAACTCCGTGATCGATCATCGGACACAATCCGACTCCGGGTTTGTTATTTGGAAATCTGCTGTCTGTATATGGATCTTGCAGACATCGTGGGAGAGTAGAAAAGACCTTTTTAATGTTTAGCTACAATAGTTTTTGTTAGTTATAGGTAGTTTAAAGTATTTTCCTGTGTTTTCCACGTCTAGATTTTCTGGCCGGTTGTACGAAAGGTGGATAAGTTATCCAGTGGATAAGTCCTATCCAATGGATAAATCTCCTATCCAATGGCAATGGATAGCTATCTGCCGAATAAAAATGCGTTGTACGAAGCACGGACTATCCGTCGGATAACCTTAATTTTAACTGGAGAAAACAGGATTTTCCTGAAATTTCTTATCTTTATGTCAGCTGTTGCTAGGTACTTGTAAACTTTTGTTGCCTTCGTATAACTTGTGAATTCCACTAACCTTTGGCTTTGAACTATCAACTTGCAATAAAGGTTTTTTGTTCATGTTTATATTTGGAGTTTTTCTCGTCCAATCGTTGCGATACTTCGTTTCCCACAGTGAAGAGTTTGCTATCTACTTATCGATATTTGTTTAAAAGATTTTTGGCTTCTTTATGCGAAGGCAATAGCAAAGACTGCGAGTTTTGTTTCTTGTTTTAGTACGTCGATTCAATTTTATTTTATGTACTGTCCGAATATTTGTTCTTTGACCTTTCACTTAGGCTCAAAACAATTTTAAGAACGTTTTCTCGCAAGATTTGATTGGCTGATCAAGGCCAGCGAACAATATTTTTCGACTTTCGACGCCTTGTTGTCTATTTATATGCAGCTATATTTGTTTGGCGTTGAAGGAAACTCATTTAATGAAAGTTTTATTGCTTGTTATCGAGCTATATAATAGAAAAAAAGAAGGAAAAAGGCCAGAAAACTGAACGTCTAAGCACTGACATTGGTCTTCGTAAAATATGGAAAAGTCATGGCATTATTTCATGGGCAAGTGACTCAAAAAAGTCAAAATGAGCTCGGTGTACGTCAAAAGCGAGACGGAAGTCATATTAAGTAAGTTTCCATGTTTATTATAGTGACAAAAAAGGGACTACTAAACAGCTTCTAAACGGTATATTTGTCCATTTCTATCACAATAGCAATCTCTTTTAAATGATTTAAACTACCTTCGGATAAATTTATCCAACGGATAGTGCATTTTTATCCGTTGGATAGCGCTATCCAAGCTTCGTACAACGCGATTTTCACTCCGGATAAAATTTATCCGCTGGATAGCGACTTATCCACCGGATAGCGATTCTGATCCACCATTCGTACAACCGGCCCCGGTAGTTTATATAAACAGCATTGTTTATGGCTTTGATATTGTCTATGACTATCACTATATCAGCTACGAAAATACGAATTGAGAATACTTTTTAAGCGTTGAAATAGTGAAGTATATTTCATCGGTTTCAGTATATATTAGCAATGTTTTTGCCTTTATTGTAATTTCATATGTAAAATTGTATTATGATCAGTTACATATACGATAAATAAAATGATCTAAAGTACTTTGAAGCGAGTGTTTTTTGCTTTTTGAATTCTGATGTGTGAAAACACGCGGGAATAACGAGTGCATGTTTAATCGTTGGTTGTCATGTCAATTGCGGACTTGCTGCAAGTCTGTTATCATCGCCATTGCTGCAGCTCTGTCGACATCAAATTGCTGCAAGTCTGTTGTTATCGCCATTGCGACAGGTCTGTTAACGACAACTTGCAGCAAGTCTGTTGTCATCGCCATTGCGACAGGTCTGTCGGCGTCGGATTGCAGCAAGCCTGTTGTCGTGCTGATGCGGGCAAGTATCGTCAAGCCGCAACAAGCCGAGCGAACGCTTCTGAGATGGGGCTTGATGGCAACAATTCGCATGCGGCCTGATGACAGACTTGCTGCAAGTTGCGCGAACTTGGCCGTGTACCTTTTGGCATATCCTCGGCCCCAGGTATATTCCAGCGGACACTAGAGAACTTACTTCAAGGTATTCCAAGTGTCATTGTGCGAGTTGATGATATTCTTGTAGGCGGTAAAGACGATGCAGATCACCTATCCAATTTGAATGCAGTGTTGACGCGACTGTCTGGAGCGGGCCTAAGATTGAAGAAGATCAAATGTTGTTTCATGGCATCAGACGTGACATATTGCGGCTATGGGATAAACAAGAGCGGAATCCATCCGGTGGTCGAAAAAGTCGAAGCCATCACGAAAGCACCAGAGCCAGAGAACATTAACCAATTACGATCATTTCTTGGAATGATAAACTACTATCACAGATTCTTACCAAATGTGGCAACGATCCTAGAGCCACTACACAGACTACTGCGACAGGGAACCAAGTGGGAGTGGGGAGAAGAGCAAAAGGCGGCATTTGACTATGCAAAAGAGCTCCTACAGTCAGCTGACTTACTCATCCATTTTGATCCGACCAAGCCGTTAATCTTAGCGACAGATGCATCGAATTACGGAGTTGGGGCCGTTTTGTCACATGTATTTCCTGATGGGACAGAAAAACCGATAGCGTATGCCTCAAGGTCTTTAAACGCAGCTGAGAGAAATTATTCGACAATCGAAAAGAAAGCATTGGCCATGATTTTCGGCGTTAAGAAGTTTCACAAATTTCTTTACGGACAGTCATTTACCATCAAAACAGACCATAAGCCATTAGAAGGGTTACTCAGCGACAAAAAAGGAGTCCCCACTCAGGCAGCACCACGAATTCAAAGATGGGCCCTCACACTAGCAGCATACGAGTACAAGATACAATATAAAGCCGGGAAAAACAATGGGAACGTAGATGCATTGAGTAGACTACCCCTACCAAAGATGCCACTGTCAACGCCACAGCCAGGTGAAACAATCCTCCTGATGGAACATTTGGAGGAAACACCAGTCAACAGCACTCAGATAAGAGAGTGGACCAAACGAGATCCAGTTATGTCAAAAGTCCTTCGTTTCACAATGCAAGGTTGGGCAGAGTCCTATGATTCCACAACATTTAAATCTTACCACAACAAAAAGTTTGAGTTAAGTGTGGAGGATGGCTGTTTACTCTGGGGTACGAGAGTTATCATTCCACCCCCAGGACGATCAAAGATCTTAACGGAGCTGCATGAAGCACATCCAGGGGTTTCCCGCATGAAAGCCCTCGCAAGAAGCTATGTGTGGTGGCCTACTCTTGATGAAGATATTGAGAGGGAAGTGAAGAATTGCAATCAGTGTCAACTGCATCATACAACTCCAGCTGCTGCACCATTTCATCCATGGGAGTGGCCAGGACATCCCTGGACGCGGCTTCATATTGATTATGCAGGACCATTCAAAGGTGAAATGTTTCTGGTAGTGGTTGATGCATATTCTAAGTGGCTAGAAGTTCACCAGATAACATCCACTACGTCTACAGCAACCATTGAGAAACTACGCGAGATTTTTGCCACACATGGGCTACCGACAACAGTTGTCAGTGACAATGGAACAAATTTCACGAGCAATGAATTTGGAGAATTTATGAAGCGAAATGGTATTAAACGCATCAAAGTTTCACCATACCACCCAGCATCAAATGGGCAAGCAGAGCGTGCAGTGAGAATTTTTAAAGAGGGCATTGAGAAGATGAAGGAAGGAAGTATGAGAACAAAATTATCGCGATTCCTTCTGAAATACCGTATTACACCCCATACGACAACGGGTGTGCCGCCAGCGGAGCTGTTGATGGGCAGACACCTGCGTACTCAGTTGGATCTGATACAGCCAAACCTTGGAGATCGGGTGAGGGAAAAACAATCACAGCAAAAGGCAGTACATGACTATCATGCTAGAGAACGGATTATCAAAACCGGGAACCTAGCATATGCGAAAGATTTCAGGAAACCGAAAAGTTGGATGCCCGGGACGGTAGTGAAGAAGACAGGACCAGTGTCGGCAGAAATACAGCTTGATGATGGTCTAATTATCCGGCGTCACCAAGATCATCTCCGCATTCGCACTGATGTTCCTCCAACAACTATAGCGAGTGGATTGGAAGACATCCAACTACCAACCAGGGAGGTGAATCCTGCAGAACCATGGGAAGAACCCGAACTGGAAGCGAGAGCAGAACAAAGAAGACAACCTCATAGAGACCGTCGTCTTCCTCAACATTTGCAGGACTATGAACTAGCAAACAGCTAAGTTGAACTTGTTATAAACCATTATTTAATATGACATTTAGTTAAAGTTGACATTCTATTGTTGTTAGGTACAGAGTAGTTCAGATTATTGGACACTGGGAAGGGAGGAGTGTAGTATCCCAGAATCCTTTGGGGGTTCGGGCCATCGTGTACTGAGACACAGAACTGGGTGGTTATAACAATAGTCTATATATTTGTTCAGACAATTGCGTAATTTGATAGTATATGATCTCGTTTGACTTTCAAGGCCCATATTAAAATCGCTACAATGTTGATATTTTTGACTATAACTATCGTGAGGAATTATGTTGATCTTTTATTTCTGAATCGGATGGTAGTATTTCTGTCTTCACAGCATGCACTAAAACCTCGTACAATTGTATCTTACATCTCATCTTATAAAAAGTGCACTATAAAGTATAAACTTGGTGATCACATGTGTGAGCTTGCCACTGAATACGGAACAATGTTTATATAAAAATACTATAAAGTCGGTTTTTGTTCCAATTATCGTTTTACATTTAATGCCACCTTCATGGCTTCCCCTACCACAGAACAACCGAACTGCTGATGGGTAGACAAAATCTATTTGTTGACATTTCTGTTTAATATGCTTCAGATGACACCATTCATTGAAATGATTAAGATTGTACTCAGTCAGAACTGTAAAAATATATAATAAGAAAGAAATTGTGAGCATTATCGTAGTGACACAGCCATATGTAGGCCAGTAGAATTATTTCATATTAGGCTTACAATGGATTTAAAAGCTTGAAAAATCTTGAGCACATGGTCATGGAGATGCGTGCGTAATACAAAATCTTGTTTTGACCGCTCCCCTCATTTAACAAACGTTCCTGAAGCTTAATTATTCCCCCCAGGTTACGACAAACATCTTTACAGACAGACACAAGATCTCGATCTCGACAATACATAACTCGCGCGAAAGACTGGGTCGAGTGGACTCTGGAGAAGCAACCGCGTGTCAAGAATAGTGTGCTGCCTCGCTACGCAAGGCAGCAATTAGTCAAAATACAGTATATAGTGTAAATTGTAAAACGGGTTTAGTCTGATGATGATTTTATAAAGTCCAAACACTGTGATATTTTGGCTACCTCTTTCGGAAATGAAATTCAATAGCCTGTTCAACCCACGATGCGTGGATAACTTTTGACAATAATTTCCATAATTTTAGACAATACTGTTAAAGTCATTAAAATTCCTTCAAAAATGTTTTTATTTATTTTGATGCCCTTTAGAGTTTTGTGAAAAGTGCGAGCATTTTCTACATGGTCATCAGAAACCTGATGGCGAATAGAGGAAATTAGCTAGATTGTGTTTTAGTTTGTCCCGGAGTATTGACCACGCACATACATGTATGTG